TAGTCTAGATCATCCTATACAACCATGGGCATCTGATTTAAAGGTGATATTTTAAAAATAGACATTACTGAGTTATAATTCACATAAAATAAAATGCATCCCTTTTCAGGATGCAGTTTGATGCATTTTGATAAATATATACTTCCATGCAACTACTACCACAACCCAAATGTAGAATGTTTCCATCATTCTCCTGAATTCCTTTGTGATCCTTTCTAGTCAATACCACCAAGCCCAAATCCTCAGGCAACACCAATTGACTATTGACTTTGTATCCCTATAGATCAGTCCTGTGTGGCCTAGAATATCATATAACAGTATTTACCGCTTTGGGTCTGGTTTCTTTTGTTCAGCCTGCTGTCTTGTCATCTATGTTGTTTTGTATATCAGTAGTTCATTCTATTTAGTGCTGAGTGGTATCCCATTATATTACATACCACAAATTTTTTTGTGTGCCATCCATATTTTTCCTTTGCACCTATTGTCAGATATGACAGTTATCAATTTGCTGACTCTCAACTCTAAGCCTAACCTTCATTGCCTGCTCCGCAATAGTGGGCTAGCCCCTGTAAGTATTTCTCCTTTGCAGAGAGAACAATAATGAGCCACGTCAGTAGATGGCGCTGGAGGGACACTGCAGGAGGAAGAAACTTCGTGGGCCCACAGTGCTTCTGTTTGCTTCTCTTCCTCCTATGGTACGGCCGCTAAGGGCACGCATGGGGCCACCCATTAACATTTTGCCCCAGCTGTGTACACAGTGCTTGCAGTCACAGGCCTACTCCTGTGCCCACCTTGCTACAGCCCTCCCACCTGGGACTCTGAGCACCTCAGGCCTCACACAACCCTGCTGGGGAGCATGTCTCTGATTCCCCACAAAACTTAGCCCACCAACTCCCTGAAGGGGTATTTTCAGGGCCCCTCCAGACATAGGCACATGTATCCCAGGCCTTCACTGCTCTGCCTGCACATAGGCTCCTGACTTGGCCCTCCCTGCCAGCCTGTCACCAGTACCCCAGAGGGATATTTCCTGCTCACCTGGAGACTATGCACCAGGCCCGGCCTGGACTCCCAGCACATTGTACATTGTATTACATATTTTCCTTTCTTTCTTTCTTTTTTTTAACTGAAGTATATTTGGTGTACAATATTGGTTTCAGGTATACAACATAGTGATTTGACAGTTATATACCTAAATGCTCACCATACAAAATTATTACAATATTACTGACCATATTCCCCATGCTGTCCTTTTCATCCCCATGAGTTATTTATTTAATAATTGGAAGTTTGTACCTCTTTATCCCCTTCACCCATTTTGTCCATCTCCCCATGTCCCTGTCCTCTGGCAACCACCAATTTGTTCCCTGTATTTATGAGTCTGTTTCTGTTCTGTTTGTTCTTATTATTTTCTTAGCTTCCACATATAAGTGAAATCATATAGTATTTGTCTTTCTCTGACTTATTTCACCAAGCATAATACCTTGTATGTTCATTCATGTTGTCACAAATGGCAAGATTTCATTCTTTTTTATGGCTGAGTAATATTCCATTGTATAAATGTATTACATCTTCTTTATCAATTCATCAGCAGGTGAACAATTAGGTTGCTTCCATATCTTGGCTCTCTTGTAAATAATATTGCAATAAACATAGGGGTGAATATACTGATTTGACTTAGTGATTTTGGATTTGGGGGAATGGTGAATACCCAGAAGTGGAATTGCTGGGTCATATGGTAGTTCTAGTTTCATTTTCTTTTGAAGAACCCCATAGGGCTATAGGAATTGGCTGCACCAATTTACATTTCCACCAACAGTGTACCAGGGGTCCCTTTTCTCCACACCCTCACCAACCCTTGGTATTTCTTGTCTTTTTAATGCTAGCCATCGTGATTGGTATACTGTGGTTTTTATTTGCGTTTTCCTGATGATTAGTGATGTTGAGCATCTTTTGATGTGTCTGTTGGCCATCTGTATGTCCTTAGGAAAAATATCTATTTAGGTCCTCTGCCCACTTTGTAATTGGACTATTTCTTTCTTTGGTGTTGAGTTCCTTATATATTCTGGATATTAGCCCCTTATCAGATATATCATGTGCAAATATGATATTTTTACCATTCAGTAGGTGGCCTTTCCATTTGGTTAATCATTTTCTTTGCTGTGCAGAAGCTTTTTAGTTTGATGTAGTACCACTTATTTTTGCTTTTGTTTCTCTTGCCTGGGGATACATATCCAGGAAAAATTTGCTAATGCTGGTATTCAAGAGTTCACTGCCTGTGTTTTCTTCTAGGAGTTCTATGGTTCCAGGTCTTATATTTAAATCTTTGCATTACACGTTTTTCAACAAGGCTTGAATCCTAGCTTGGAGAAGGCCCCCTTCCAATTTGTTCCTTCCTTTGGTACTCTCCCTCAGCCTTAGAGTATTCTGCAAAGTTCTCTTTATACCCTCAGAGGATTCCCCTACTAGAGTTAATAGTTTTTGGCATTAAATTTTCTTTTTAAAAATTATTGTGTGGTTTCTGTATTCTAATTGTACCCTAACAGATACATTAAGACATTGTATTTTTCCAATTTGGGCCTATTAGGAATAAAGCTGCCATGAGTATTTTGTCCAGATAGTGAACCAGTTCTTCTAATGCATATTTTAAACAATTCATTTCCCCCACTGTTTTAAGGTGCCCACTTTGTATATGCTAATTACCCAGATACACATGAGTCAGCATTTGAGTTTTCTCTTTTTTAAAGATTGAATTAATCATTCATGGACTGATATTAATGTGTACAATTTGTAGAGTATGATTATTTTAATTCCTAACATACTAACTGGAATTATTTTTTAGATTATATTGAATTTATAGGTTAATTTGGGGAGAGTTAATAACTTTATATTAAACTGTCTCATCCAATAACAGAGAATGTCTTCTTTATTCAGATCATCATCTCTTCTATTAGTTTGAAAATTCTCTCCATAGAAACCTTATATGTTCTTAAATAATCCCTACTTAATAGTTACTATTGTGGATACAGTTTCATGTTTATTGTTTATTGGTAACAGCTGTTTTAGGAAAATGCAACTGATTTTTGTAGGGTGTTCTTATATCCAGTAACTTTGCTGAATGATCTTATTAGTTCTAATAATTGTTTTTTTAAAAATTAGGTATTATGTAGGACAAATGATCTATAAATGATAGTTTTATCTCTTTCAATCCTTTGCTTTTTTTTTTCTTTCTTTAAGGCTCTACACAGGACTCCTAAAACTATGTTAAATGGTAGCAGTGATAGTAGGCCTCCTTATATTGATCTTGAAGGGAATGTTTCACAAGTGTTCCCATTAACGTATTTGCTGTAGGTTTTTTGGTATATAACTTTTATCAGATTAAGAAAGTAATTTTCTATTTGCTGAAAGTTTTTATTATGAATACGCTTAAACCTTATACAATGCTTTCTCTGCATTAGGATAATTATACGATTGTTCTCCTAAAGGATTCTATTAATGTAGTAAATTACAGTGATGAATTTTTCTGAAAACAATGACCTATCCTTGCATTCCTGGAATAAACACCATTTGATTATGATCTATCATTTTTTAATACACTGTTGGTTTTCATGTTTGTATTTAGGATTTTTGCAACTACTCAATTCTATTTGTTTTCTTAGTATTTAATCTAGATTTTAACATGGATACTTAAGGAAGACTGAGGTTATTCATGTCTTTAGTCTCTTCAAGAACACTCCAAGGACCAACTTATGTGCTATTGTTGTCCAATATTTTAATTCCTGATTTTCTAATTTTATATATTACACATAATTTTATGGTATGTTAATACTTGCTAATTTTTAAAAACCTGTTTCTTTGCTCACTTTTCCTTCTTGCATCTCAGCCCTTCCATCTGGGATCATTTTCCTTAATAGCAGACTTTTACTATTTAAATAGCATTTACCACATGCCAGGCACTGTTCTGAACCTTTAACATGTCAGCTCATTTAACCCCCTCTGTAACCCTAGGAAGTATATGCTATATTCCATCTGAAGAACATCCTTTAGAATATGTGGGTCTCAGTTCCATCCCCTTTGCCCTTTTTCTTTTTTTTAATTTTTCAGACTGGAAGCATAGAAGTTCTTAAACTCATGAGAGTGTCTGGGATGTCTTAGGGAGAGAACAGAAGCAGAAAAGAAGTAAAAGAGCCCTAGGAAGCCCCAGAGTTCATATACTGAGCTCAAGAGCCTTCCCTCAAGAGATGGAGCCTGCTGGAACCGCAAGGCCAGAGCCAAAGCAGTGGAAGTCACTCTGCAGGGCTCTTGGGATGGAGAATGTCAGCCGTATGTATCCCCAGCAGGCATGTGCTCTGGCATTGCTACACTTCCTTTACCCATCTTCTGACCGCTGAAACCCAGCCCTAAGAGGATGGTGGCGCTGCCCAGAAGCGACCAAATGTTAACTTCCTTCCTGTGCCTCTCTGAGGCAGGGGCGGGGAGGGGTGCTCCAGGAGTCAATGGTTGCTGTAGTTCATAGCCCTGGAGGTCAACCTTGTATCAGGTGTTTACTGCTTGCATCAGGTATGGCTGAAATAAACAAGGCTGCCCCAGCTATACAACTGCACATAACTTCAGGACCCAAGAGCTCAAAGAAAAATGAACAGTGGGTCAAAAGCAGTGGCCTTAGTGCCATCATCCCTTCCCTTCTATTTGACTCTGGGCCTCCCTTGCAGAGTCTGTGGGAATAGAAGGCTTTCAGGGCTTGTAGGCAGTGACCTTGGAAGACAGAGCTGAGAAGCTGCCTGGACATCTCAGATTCCGTGGCCCCAGGACATCACTGTGGCAGCAGAGTTCCCAAACAGGACTCAGAGGCCCAGGTCAGATCTTTCAGGCCTTTTTCTGACATACACAGCTCTCTGCTGCCTCTCAGCTAAGGCAGCCTTCTCTTCTTTGTTTTAGTTACCTGGAACCCTGTTTTTTCTTTCCTGTAATTCAGAACTGTCTCCAGAAAGCAACACATGAAACCATTTTCAAACCGACTTTAATCATATTTTGCTGCCCAAATACTGTACATGCAGAAGCCATGTGAAGAATTTTCTCAAGGGAATTGGCAAGAATGTCATACAAAACAGCCGGCAGTCCTTCCCAGCTGTCCACCTATCACCTAGGAGCCACAAGTTTGGAAAGATGCTGCACATAGAAAATGTATAGAGCACAGATATAAAAGGCTAATTGCTTCTTATCTAAACAGTGTGCTTGTCAGTCCCTATCAGCTATCTCTTTCTTTGCAGGATGCATTTGGAAATTCTAAAAAAGTGGTTCCTGCCTCTTGTGAATTTACATTCTAAAGGAATGGATAGAACAATCAGGCCAGTGTTCCCTATGAAAGCAGCGACTCTGCCTGCTGAGATGTCTGGTAAAACATTCTGGAGAGAGGAGTGAGTTTAAAGAAGCAAAATACTTTGAAGGAAAATGACTTCCCTCTCTCCTCCCATCAGAGAGCATTTCCTTTCAAACTCTCAGATGTTCAGTGTCCCACTGATGTCACTGTAGAAGCAGAAATGAGGACTGACGCAGCCTCAGCTGCTGGTGGGGATACTGACCTGTGCAGGACGCAGCTGAGGATGTGACATCACATCAGCACCTTGAAAACTGTCCGTTGTAGACAACCCTTAACGATTTCTCACCAGTACACAAGGAGAGAAGGGGGAGAACACACCACAAAGAAGTGGAAGCAGAGTCTTTAGTATTCCCAGAATTCTTGTCAGAAGTAGCATCTGGGTGTGGACAGATGAGGACCTGCGCCGAGCTTGGCCACCAGGGGCAGGGAGAAACCAGCCCCTGGAGCCAGGTGCACCACGCTCACAACCCTCATCAGCTCCAGATCAGACTTTTACAACCTGGAGGGTACCATGGTGCAATTAGCAAATGCTCCGATTTTGCAGATGAGGAAGCTGAGGCCCAGCAAGGTGAAGAGACTTGCACAAGGTCACAGTTTCTGGTGAAGCTGTTATAACAGACTCTGATTCCCTGTAGCCAGCTATCCAGCCATTGACCAAAGAGGTGGTGCTTCCCCAGGCCCTTTTCTGTTAGCCAAGCCCCTGAGACCCAGTCCCAGGGACCTTCTTGACAATGGTGTGAACTCCTTGGGAGGCCCAAGGCCCTGTCCTTACTGGTCCACTTATGCTCTCAAACCAGTCTAGGCTCCTGAAAGAATATAAGTTTCTCTTACTGGCCTGGTTTCCCTCACAGGCACAGCTGTACTGGGCCCACAAAAGCCCAAGCTCAGGGTTGGGGGAGGGGGAGTTGCTTTGCTACATGGAAAGATTAAGCCCTTTGTCAGAGAACAAGGCCCCACCAGTGGGCTTGCCAACACCCCTGCCACATTTGGGCAGCTCAACCAGCAGAGTTGGTGCCCAGGGAGGCCAAGTTGCTCTCTTTGGCATCACTGACATTGCTCTGAGATGCTCAGGCACTCTTTCAAAATAACCCTTTCCCAGCCAGACCAGACCAATCCAGCCCCCATCAGGCTACACCTGAGTGGATGGGGCTCCCCTGCCCTTAAGTCATGATTGTTCTGTTTTGTCCCAATCTCTTCTGACCTGAGTGAAAAGCAGACTTGAGGGGGAAGGCAGGGGACGAATCTACGTTCCCATCTCCTCTCTGATCATCCAATGAACAATAATCCAGTATAAGAAGCAGCATTTTAAAGAGCCTCTTTACATGTCAAGAGATTGGAGGGGAAAACGCTGAGCAGAGGGAGAGAAAGGTAGGAGTCGGCAGGGAAGTAGGCCTCGTCATTTCCATCTCCTTGCAGCCTCTGCAGAAGTCTGGCTGGACAGCCTCCCAGCCCTGCATGATGCATCACCTCTCTCCACCTGGGAAGGACACCTGGTTGACACCAACATCAAGGCAGCCATTTCTCGCACGGAGTTAGCACAGCGCAGGAAGCAGAGAAACAGAAGAGCAGCCTTCCTGAAGCCCTGCTGCTTTCTGGGCCAAAGAAGATGGGGAATTGGAGGTATTAGGAGCTCTGGAGCCCCAGCAGTAGAGAAGCTCAGTGTCTCCTGGGCAGTGGGGTGTGGAGCAAGAACTCTGGCTGCATGTCAGGGCTCCTGGTAATGCAGTCTAAAATTGTGCTACATTTCGTTTCCAAAGAAGTACCTCAGGAGGCTCTGCTGTCTTTACAAGTCGGGGGTTCCCTGCTCACCTCAATGCTCACGGTAAAGAAGAGCTCAGGCGTGCTTGTCCTGGTTCACGTCATGCCACTGGGAGAACTGGCTTGACCTCAGTGCTCTAACCGGCAGTGAGCCCACAGCTGATGAGCTACATGGGTGCCTCTTCCTGGGGTTCCAGGGTTCTGGCTCAGCCCCATGAACTGCTGACAGTGCCTGGGACTTGATGCATAATGAGAACCTCCTGGGTGCTCCTCTCTTAAGAGAGCTGGGTGGTAGAAGAGACGGGTTGGGGGAGCGCTGTGGAGATGGTTCTTCCCTGAAGGATCAAATCTCTCCTGTCAAACCAAGACTTGGCCCCGCCTACTGGAGCGTAATTTATAGCAAACGCTCATCAGCCTTCCTGTGAGTGGGAAGGCATCCAGGAAGGAAGTGGGACACGTGGAGCAGGGCATAAACGTGGAGACAGATGCTCTGAACCTTCCCTCACGGTTCCTCCTGCAACCCAGCCTTGCTGTGGGGCCGCTCCCATCCCTACCGCATTTCCACCCCTCCTGCCTGAGCAGGGGAAGAGGGAATGCCAGACAGCACCATCCTGCAATCAGCTAGGGGTTCTCCCCGGGGTCAGGGGGCATTCGGAGCTGGAATACTCTGCCTGGCAGGGGGGTGGTCCCGGGTGAGGGAGAACCCTGGGGATCCTGGTCCTTCCTACCCCGCCGTCCTTCCTTCAAAGGATAGAGGCTCCCCACCCCAGGGGAGGCCAGGAGTCCACTCGTGCTGCCTCCTCTCTTGGGACAGGCTAGCTCTGGAGCAGCTTCTCAGACCAGCCCCTGCCTGCGGGGTGCTGAGAAACTCCATTCAGTCTCACACATACTCACCTCATAAGGTGAAGGGGGATAAACCAGGTGGAGATTAGTTAACTTATTTGGTGCAAAGGGTTAAAAAGAAGAATTCCCCAAGGTCAATTGAGGGGAATTTGTTCCCCCTGGAGAGGTGGGCTGGTGGAGTGACTTAGCATCTGGGCAGTTTTGGCAGCTGGGGGGTGTAGGCAGGCCAGCCCAAGTTACCAACACAGCAGAGCACCCTCTGCGAGGACTTCCCCTGCACCAACCAGCCTCGACCGGGCAGGGGTGCCACCCACAGCCACCCAGCCGTAGCCTCCCTGCTGACACTGTCCTCCTGGGCACCCAGAGGTGAGGGTGCCACCCCCATGCCCCGAGGGTGACTGCACGGTCTGGGTGTCACCACTCGGTGCCACATCAGCAAAAGTCTACACTACCCTGTGGAGCACACATAGTCCCACCACTCACTCCCCACGCGCAGACCGTCTTCACTCTCTCCTGAGGGCAGCTGCCCTGGAGTGGATGCATCATGGACAGGCCACGAAAATACCCTTTTGCCAGCAAGCTTCCTCCCTCTCCCCACCCTAGGGTCAAAGAGTTCAGAGCCTTTTGCCTCATTTTTAGAAACATGAGAAATGCACGCATTACCCAGTCCCAACAGTGAAGAGAATTTCTGCATAGGGAAAAGGAGGAAAGATGGCTGCTGCCTCCCCTCCCCTCAGCACAGTGTGGCCCTCATCTGTGAGGACCCCAGGGTGGAGGCCCACGGAGGACAGGCTCCCAGGCGCTCACTTAGTGCCTCTTCTTACTGCCCTCACCTGCTTTTTGTCTGTGGGCAGGACCGCTGGGGTCCTGGCTTCCTCCCCTGGTTTTTTGGGGGGTGAGGTTACAGGGCTCTGGCTTCAGCCTACTGTGATCCCTGCCAGAAAAGGAGGCCCTTCAGATAGAGATGGTTTTACCTCCAGAAAGCCTCTTTCTCCAGCCCCCTCAGAATCCACCTCCAGGCCCATCTGGCTTTGGTTATGAATGGAGTTCAAGTGCTCAGGCCCTGAGACTTGAACTCCCTCACTGGGTAGCTCCTCTCGGCCTCACGTATGTGGGTTAGAGTCATCACAGCACTTGGGGATGATGTCTGGGGAAGAGGCACAGAGACAGTCCTCCTTACCTTGACCCCTCCTGCCACCTCTTTCCTCCCCACTAGACATGGGCCCAAGGGCTGCTATGTCCATCTCCTGGGCAACCTCTCGCCTTTCATTCTGGACCCAAGGAGGGAGAGGACAGATTTGAGCCTCCCTGTGCCAGACTTTAGGATTCCCAGCAGGCATCTCAGGTCCAGCCCAGGGACTGTCCCCACCCCCAGGGCTCAGCTGTCAAGTCAGGGTTTGAGTGGCTTTGGGAAGCTCCAACCAGGCAAGGGTGGAAAGAAAGCAGAGGCAGGTGACGCGCCCAGAGCAGGCAAGGCCACTCTCCAGAGGGCAATGGCGGTGTGCAAGGACGCAGGGAGGCTTAAGGGGTTAAGTATTGCTTGTACAGAGCTGGTGACTGTGGCAGTCTAGGGTCCAGTGCCAGGCTGTCTGTGGAGGCAGGAGGCTGCAGCCCAAGTGAGTCTGAGCTCCCAGACAAGGAACCTGGTCTGGAAATGAGAGAAAAAAAAAAAAAAAGAGCCCCAAATAATCAACTTTATGCAGCTAATCCCCAAAAGCCAGGCAGGATTTTCAGCAGTGACTCAGGGTAATGAGCCCCCACCCTCCTTATGCCAGCAAACAGCCGCGACCTCAGCATCTCCTCAAGCCAGGCCCCACCAGGATGAGGGAAGAGAGGGGTAGGGCCACCCTCAGGGCCTGGGGAGGTCAGGAGTGCCTCCAGGGACTGTCTGCTTTGACAGACAACATCCCCTCTGGGGCTGGCCTCCTGGATGTCAAGACCCTCCAGTCCATACCTCCTGGGGCCCACTGGGAGAGCGCCTTTGGCATGTCGGAGATGGAGGTGTGGAGGGCGATGGGAGGTGAAAAACAATGCTAAAGGGAGGTCCCGGCACTTCCCTCTAAGGTACCTAGCAACCCCAGAACTAAGACTTCCTTGCATTTTGCTTGTAGGAAGGAGGTGACTCCAGTCCAAGGGAGAAGGTAGTTTCCAAGCCCGCAGCTCCCCAGGCCCTGGCCAGGGCACCAGGTGAGCTTTTTGTGCTACAGGTGCATTCAGTGGGAGGGGCTTCCAGAGCGCTTGGGTGGGGAGGAGGGGTATCAGTCCCCAGAGGGGCCTGTGTGTGGCCAGCTGCACTGGAGGCTACATTCCTCAAAAAAGAGCAGCAGTGCTGGGAGAGGCAACAGTGGAGCAAAGGACAAGACAGAAAACTGAGCAGGGACCACCAAGAGGAGGGACAGGCAGGGACACGTGGGCTCTGCCCCGGGCATGGGATCAGGCAGGACAGACCAATGGCTGTGTCCCCCATTTCCACCCATGTACTCAATGGGAGTCATGTCCACATAACATTCCTTTGGGTTTCTTTTCGAAGAGACACAGAGAGATATGGATTTCAGTCTATGACACCACCAAGACTGACTACACCCAGACAATGAATGGATATAACATGGTCACATACAGATAGACACACAGACACATGGACACGCACAGACACATAACACACCCACTCCTGTCTCCACTGCCAGCTGGGATGGGCCCAGTAGCCAACAGGCATGCAGCAGGGCAAGGGGGCCAGAAAGACATGAAGACTATGTACAGGTGAGGAGGTGGGGGTCACGCCACAGCCCAGCCTCTTCCTGAGGTCCTTAGGAGCATGAGGGGCTGGTGGCACTCTCCAGGGAGGACTGGGACAGGCGCCTGGTGAGGGATCCAAGTGTCGAGTCTGCCACTGAGGACGTGGGGAAGAGTTTATACCAGCCAACGACCGCAGCGCTCAGGTCCAACTCATCCAGCATGATCTGGGCCACGCCCATGAAGCACTTGTGGTCCATGCGGCCATAGTCGCCCCAGATAATCACCTGCCAGTGGGGAGAAAGAGGGAGCAGCTGAGCCACCTCCCTGACTCCAGGGCTGGGTAGTGGGCCCAAGAACCTATGTGTTTCTCCAGGGCATAGACAGGACAGACAGCCAGAACTCGGGCTGATTTCGGGCAACAACTTTCTAAGCACGTACGTAAGGTGTGCCGGGCTTGGCTTGATTGATGGACTTTATATACATTATCTCCATTGTCACAGCAATCTAGGTAGAGGTTCTATGTAGTATTAGTTCCACAAAGAGGAAACTGCAGCTCAGAGAGGTTAATTAACTAACCCAAAGATATACAGTAATTGGTGGCAGGGCTGGGATTGGAACCTGGGTCTGATGTCAGAGCCCCCCAGCATCCCAGATGACAGCCTTCCCCAGAAAAGAGCAGACTGAGAGTCCAGGACCTGGGTCACAGCTCCTGCTTAGCCACTGGCTCACAGTGGGGCTTGGGCAAGCCCAGCCCTCACTGCACCTCAGTGCTCCCATCTGTAAAACTGGGAGAGGAGACTCAATTAGCTCGGTAAATTTTCAAACTTATGTTTTTATTAGTGAATCCTTTCTTCAAAACAGAATCTCACAATACATAAACACAGACATCCAAAATCACCCCCTCCCCCATGGAGAACCCTATAGTTCTGCAGTTCTTGCCATTTGCAACTCAAGAGCTCTTGCCATACAATGACTTTGGCCCAGAGGAAGAGCCCTAGTCAAGGAGTCATACAGTCCAGAGAGTCCCCAGCTCAAGCCTCTCATCTGCCAACCTTGTGGCCTCAGAGCCAAGGCCAAGAGCCACCAGCCACCCTGCTAACACTCAGTAAGTAGCTGTCTGTGTGCCAGGCACTATGAGAGGCCCTCTGCATGCCTCTCTTGTTCTTCACAGGGTACCACCCATAGATTATAAGTAGTCAAGCTGGAACTTGACTGAACCCAGAGACTGACCCCCACCATGCTCTGCCCCTACTGAGCCTCTGTGGGCCTCACGTGCTTCACTAATGCACCAGGCATGATGACCCCTGGCTCCCAGGACTGCCGTGAAGGGGGCTTCATGCTCACATAGCAGGGGTGAGCGTCACCCTGGCCTGGGCTCAACTTGTCTCTACAAGTTGCTAGCTGGAACCCCAGGCAAATCACTTCATCGTTCTAAGCCTGTTTCCTTATCTGCAAAATGGGGAGAATCACACCTACTTCACAGGATCACCTTAAGGATGAAAGATCACGCCTGGAAAGCAGCTAACACGGAGCCTGGCATGGAGGCAGTGCGCAGTAAACATAAGCACCAGGAGGAGGGTGACGGTGGGCAAACCCTGCCTCTACCTACCAGCTGTGCAACCTGGGGGCAAACGTGCTATCCCCTGAACCTGGGTTTCCTCATGAACTGATCAGGGCAAACACCTCACTGGGCTGTGGGAATAAATGGGTAACGTGCATCAACACAGCTGGTACAGTGCCTGGCACAGGAGGAATCACCCATGAAACAAAGTTTAATCACAACCTGGAGTCTTTAAGAGTTGACCTGCCCTGCTGGCCCCGTAACACTCACCTGCAGCACCTTGCCCTGGGGCCCCTCGTCAAAGAGCAGGGCCTGCTGGTACAGGGGATCGCAGGCCTTCTTGGCCACCTTTGTCTTCTTTTTGGCCAAGCAGGCCCCATTCTTGAGCAGGTAAGCCTTGACATAGGTGGCTGAGGGATGGGAGAAAGCATGATGGGGAGGGGCCCAGGAGAGACTGCTATGGCCCAGCCCATCTCTCGCCTCCGGGTGATCCTGGAGGTCAGCGGGGTGAGTGGAATGCGCTGAGCACTGGACGACAGGAAGAAACCGATGCAAACACTGACCCCTCCAGCTCCCCCACCCTCACCCCTGTTCACTAGCTTTCTAGCTGTGACTCCAGTGTCAAGAATACTGATTTGGCCAATGGCAAGGACCCAGAGTTCAGATGTACACCCTCCCTGGCAGGACCCCATTTCCAAAATCCCTCTCCCAGATGCTCTGCCTTACCTGGGAGGGATTTGGAGCCTGGTTTGGGGGTCAGGCCCCGAGCTTCGATCACTTCCACCTCCAGCTGCCCATTGCGGTCCATGATGGCAATGTGCACATCCCCTGCAAGGAGAAGAGGCATAGTCCAGGCAGAGCCAGACCCAGGGCAGGCCAGATGGCCACTGTGAAGAATGCCAGTCTGCAGAGGATGCCACACACTAGAAAGAGCACAGGATGGAGCAAACTGCATGCACCGTACCTGCTCTTGGGAGACCACTTCAAAGTGGCTGAGGAATGCTTCGATAGGTCCCTTGGGGTAGGGAGGGAGCATGACCCGCAAGGGGCACGCTTGGGTAACAACAAATGGCTGCCAAACTCCCATGTAAGTCTGGTTAACTGGGCAGCTTCTGTTTTACCAAGCAGAATAGTAAATTTGGAGACACAGCTTCCTGTGTCAGGAAGACAGAGGGGAGGCTGTGGGCTTAGTGGCTCTTGTTCACATTCTCCACAGCAGTCCTCAGCCATGCCCCTAAATATATGTCAAACACATATTTAAAGAATATAAGTTTGAAGAGATGTCAAGATATGACCCTGCCTAGGACATGAGGCCCTGCCTGGGAATGAGGGCCTGCTCGGACCCTTGCCAAAGCATGGAGGAGAGGCTGGTACATTTCCTGGGAGCAGATACCCGAGAACTCACTGTGCTCCCACAAAATGGATGTCCAGCTGGGGCAGGTTCTGTGTGTGGAGTCATGTCAGTTATCTGATTTCTAGAACTCTTAGCTTTGTTCAATGTGGGTTAGCAGAATTTGAAACTATGCATTAGTCACTTGTAACATCCTTGAAAGGGGTGCAGAATCATAAGCCTGGTGCAGAAAAATGACAATTGGTCAGACTTTGGGTTCAGCCACCCATTTTAGATTCTTTGAGCTATCATGCAATTGCTTGTATTTGCATACTTAGAAATATGAGGATTTATTACTCTCAGGAGACATCCTGGCCTTCATCCCCCTCCCTCTAGCTATTTCTGACCTCCCCACGGGAGGGCAGGGGGTGTGTCAGGAATCAATCTCACTGTAACTTCCCTAACAAGATGGGCAAATGCAAGCCTCTCCTTCCCAGCTTTGGACACCAGGGGGCAGGACACACAAATGTTCCAGAATGTGATGGTGCATTAGCTTTGAGAAGGTGGCTGGCTCCTCTCACTACCTCCTGGCCCTTGGCTGAGCCTAGGGTTGGGAAAAGCAGACTCCCCGGGCCCTTAGGAGCCCGAAGCAAGGGCTAGCTAGGAGTTAGCCACCAAATCCACCCCAAGAGCCAGATGAAAGCTGACGCTCACCCTCTGAGGGTCCCCGTGAAACCCTCAGACAAAGGCTCCCATGTGAGCATATTAGAGGAAGACAGGGCAGTGCATGGGGAAGAGTACTGGCCTGGGGTGGTACCCCAGCCTCATGCATGGCTTGTAGCAGGGCACTGTCTTTGCTTAGCTTCCTCATTTGCTGTAAGGTCAAATGCTGAACACTGTCCAAATGAGAGCTGAATACAGATGTCTGGGTCAGACACTGCCCAGGTCAGGCTGATGGGTAAGTGGGTAGAGGTGAGGAGGCATCTCTCGGGAAGCTGAGCCTAAGAGGAGCTGCTTAAAGCCAACACAGCCAGTATCTAAGGGAGAGAGGGAAGGAGCCAGAGCTGCAGCTGAGAGGACCAGGAACAGACTTCAGCAAGTACTTGCTGCTGCAGGGAAGAGGGATGAGAAACTTACTGAAAGGCTTCTAGGTGCCAGGCCCTATTAGAAATAACAAGTCAAATAAGACACAGTTCCTAATAACTAAATTAAATACTTCATGTAAATCATCAAATAGAACTCCATAAATTGTTAGATCACAGAACGAAGGTATTATTATTCCCATTTTACAGATGAGGAAACTGAGGCTCAAAGAAGGAAAGTGACTTGCCCAAGGACACAGATAAGCAGTGATAGAAAAGGCCATGAACATCAATGCTGTGATGAGTTTTGTCCCCCTTTTATGCTGGCACGGAGCACTGCCGGGCACACAGCAGGAGACGGAGAGTGGGTGAGTGTGTGGTGAAGTGAGGGAGGGAATGTGCTGTACACACTGCAGCAGGGTAGCTGAGAGAGGGAAGCTGGAACCCCACCCTCTCTGCTGAGGGGGGATTGATGATTGCTGTGCACACTTCTCACTGGCACAGAAGCCTGAGTGAGGACTCCTTTCTGCTGCCTGCATAGCACCCCATGGGCTCCCACTAAGCTGACCCTTTCTGCTGTGTGGCTGCCAGGACCCCACCCACCCTGCCCTCAAGAAGACTTACCCATTGGTGGAGTTGCCAGTGTCTGTCGCCCCACAATCTGGGCAGGTCCCAGCCCATCCAGGAAATCACTAAACTGGCTTTCGGCTCCGAGCCGGGTGGTGGGGAAGACGAACCTGGAGAAGAAGGCAGACGGGCACAAGAGGGTGTCTGGATGGCAGGGTGCAGTGACTCTGCCCCTGGGGCACAGGCATGCCCCTGTGCCTCGGTTTTCCCCTCTGCGTATACTACTTTGGTTGAGGACAAATAAAACTATTTATCTCTGCACACTAAAGAAAACTAATTTAATGTCACTTGAGAAAAGGGAACTAATAAACATAACATAATGGTGGTCTTCAGTCCTCAAGTACCAGGATTTCTAAGGTGACCCTTAAAAGGCAGGGCTTGCTGGATACCTTCCTCACCAGGGAATGTTAATGCTAAGAACCAGACACTTAGGCCAGAAATCTCAATGCCTGGAGCAAGTTCCAAAACCTGAGGTGTACTTGACCATAAGTTTGAAATCCAAGTCCATAATGTAAGGTGGTGCCCAAAATAGCAACTGAAACCAAAATAACATTGTTGCAGGGTTGAGATTAATGGCAATTGATGGTGGGTGGTCCATGGCTGGTGGCCTGGAAACAGTAACAAGACATGCAGTGATTGCAATTTGGCCAGGTGCCAACAGTGTACTAAATGCTCCATGTGCATTGTGTCACTTCATGTTTGCATCCACTCTGTGTGGCAGGAGCTATTATCCAACTTCACAGGTGACAGAACAGAGGCTCCAAGAGGTAAGAGATTTGCCTTGCCTGCAAGACAGAGATGATACCCAACTCATAGCGTTATAGTGAGGATATGGGCAGATGGCACGTGAAAAGTTCCCAAGGAAAGGGAAACAATGAAATGGTAGTTATTGTCGCTGTTGCTATCATCAAGGGCAAAGTGCTACTTGTTCATGTCCTCAAGCCTAGATAGATGTTCTGAGTGTGGCCAGCAGAGAAAGCACAGGTGAGGAAGGGCTGGCCCAGGCCTGCTCAGGGGCTCCTCCGGGCCAAACAATGTTCTAAGATCTTCTCGAAGAGCCCAGGCTCCTGGCTAAAGGTTCTCCCAGAATGAATGGCCTGTTGGACAGTTTGGCCTTGAGTTCCCTTTGGCCAGGGACAGGCAGGGAGGGAAGACGGGCTGCATATGCTTGTTGGAGAGGACCCATGTTTCTTCCCCAGGAAGGGGCTTTGAGGCCCACCCACTCCTGCTGGCCACAGTCAACTCATTCTTAGGAAAATGGGGTCTGAGGTTAAATAAACAGACTCATGAGGTCACAGAATTTTAGGAGCTTGGTATAGACAGTGTAGATTGTGAACAAAGGTTACAGCGTCAAAGAGCCTTAACTCAGATCGTGACTCCACTACCACTTAATAGCTGTGACCTTGAAAAAAGTACCTCATCATCCTCCTGTGCCTCGGTTTCCCCACTTGTAAAATGGAGGTAATGGTAGTACCAAAATCCCTCAGGGTTGTTGAGAGTGTTAAATGAGACACTATTTTTTATCTGATAGTGGCTGGTAGATCCGAGTAAGGGGCACTGATCTGAAGTGCCCAGTGATGCCCTGCATATGGTAAGATGCAATACATGCTCGTGGCTACTTGCATTCATAGAGTAGGCACAGTAGCGGGCATATGGTCATAGAATCCTAAATAATAGAGCCACAAGACTGCAATCACTGGGCCTTGCTGAAGCCAAATCAGGAAATCTTAAGTCATAAAACCGCAGGTTCATAGATTCAGAAGAAATGGACGGACTACCTAATTCAGTGACCTTTGAATTGTTTACTACAACCCACATGCAAATATAAGAATACATTTAATGTCATAGACCTATGTGCATCTCTATATATTTTTAAATCACAAGATAATTCATCTTTATTCTGTAGGGTGTATTTGAATTTTCTATTTCTCTTTCTAATGCTGGCTTTGACTCACTAAACCAATTTTACTTCATGCCTATGAGCCATCACCCCAGTTTGAAAAACACGGAGCTAGTCCAGCCTCCTTCTGGAAGCTCCAAAAACGCCACCTGTGAGAACTCCATTCCTGTGAGCCTTAACAATGGTTTTAGATTTAATAGGATTTAGGGATCATGTTTTCCTTCCAAAGCCTCTCCTCTGGATCAGGGCAGCCTGTAGGAGCTGGGAGGTGGGGGGCATGATCAATACAGAACGGATGAACTGCTCCTGGGCCACTGGAGTATTTGGATGGAGAACAGCAGCCTGCAGCAATAGGAAGACTGGGGCCCGGGCCGGGGCTGTGGGGAGGCAGGGACACAGGAACCCAGGCATTGGGGCAGGAAACTCAGATGGGAGCTCTTCCAGTCCTGCCCCTGGCTCTGCCTGGAAGACTGACTGGGGAGGCGGTGGGAATGCAACGGGGTGACTGCACATACGTGCCGTCGGAGCTGTTGCTATTGGTACTTCCATCCGTGGACTCCCGGCTGCCCTGGCGCGTGACCCGACTCCGCATCTCCACCGCGATGCCTGTCTCTGTGCTCCGCCGGATGTTGCTGCGCAGCTTCTTGGTGGCCCCTTCTGTCACCACCACCAAACACAGAGAACAAGGTCAGATCACCCATGCGGCTTCTCTGAGGGTGCTACCAAAGTCACCCTCTTGGGAGGCGACAGGATGGGCAGGGCTCTGGAGGCAGGGAACATTCCTGAAATGATCTCTAGAGCCCGTGTGCAGCTTGACCCCTGGCTCTACCCGGGGCAGGGATGCAAGCAACACAAACGAGAAAGATGGCTGCAGGCAGAGAGGAGCTGGGGGCCCTGTGTGGTGGGGAGTCACAGGCAGAGCCCAGCCCTGCAGCGCTCAGCCTCATCCCCGCCAGGCTCCCCAACAGCCACCTTCCCACTCGGTTTCAGCCCTTGTGCCGAAGAATTAAGTGCTCCTTTCTCTTCTGGGAAGTTTGCCTTCTTTGGCATTCCCAGCTACCTTCATGGCCCCCATCAGACCCAGACCTCACAGCCCACCTCTGTGACACCCTCACAGGCTCTATAAAAACCCCAGGGAGGCCTGGCCACTCCCAAACTAACATGCATTCTCAAAGTGGGTCTGAACGTGGAGAGGGATGTCTGTGGAGAGGTGGAGAGGCCTTCAGGGAAGCCCAAGAGAGAGACTGTTAGGTTGGCCTGAATTGCCTTTGGCTTTGAGAGACAGGGCTACAGAAGAACCCAGAAGATATGCTCACCCCCTGCTCAGAGGACCCTCTACCTCACCCCAATTCCTCTTCAGCCTTGCAGGGAACGTGGGGGCACTGCCTCTCCTAGCAGCATACCATCCTGCCTGGGTTTCCATGGCAACCTCCTCAGCATTGCAGTGTAGTCCCTCTAGACACCCTCTCCTCCTCGGGGTGGTGGGGGACAGGCAGAAGATGGGTTGAGGGTTTGCAGGGACACCCCTGCTGGAGCTTGGCTGCCTGAGGAGTTTGATGGAGAGGGAAGTGGCACTCAGATAGGAACCGTACCAAAGGAGCCATTTGCTGTCACTGGTTAGAGTCCCAGGCAAATTAAGAGTAGAGTTGCCTACACAGATGGAGAGAAACGGGGGGTAGTGTAGGTAGCACAGCCCCCAAAGTGGGGCGGGGGGGCGCTGGCTACCCTGGCAACCCTTCTCCCACCCATACCCAATGGTTGCCTGGGGAGGGGATGTTTAAGACTCCAGCATTGGAGAAGGGGGACTTTATTTCTCCTGCTTTATCCTAAATCTTTCAGAAAGTCTCACTAGGGGAGGGAAGACTAAGAGGGCCAGAATTATTAGTGGACAAGATGACGAGACTGGGAGTGAGGAATGGGAGATGTGGTGAGCAGGAATGTCTTCTAAAGCCACCCCAGCTTCTGGAATATTGGAGCAGCTACTATTCAAGAATTAGTGAGACTATCGCTGTGTTTGTCTCTCACATACACACAGTCACATTACCTCATACATGTTTCTTTCACAGGCATAAGGAGATACGCACGAGTGCCAACAATCACATATTTGAACACAGTGATCTCACACAGAAAGTCATGCGCATGTTCATAAAACAGTCATGCAAATTTGGTCCTACTAGGTCTTAGTCACATGTACACATGACATACTCTGCCACATACACGCGACCTTTACACTGTAACACTTGGAATTGAACCCATCTATTTAATCACACACACGGATGCAAAACGACAAATGGCATGTGGCCTACCACACACGGAGGGCTGGCCAATAGTGGTGGGTGTGGGGGGACTCACACTGTCGCTGGTTCCTAACTGCCATATCCTCTCTCACCCAGTTAGAAGACAAGTGGATCTGTGGGGTCTGTACTTTACCTCCCTCTGCTTCCATCCCTTCCACAACATACACCATGAGCTGAAGCCAAAGCCTCACCACCTCATGATTCCAATCCCCCTTCTTGTGAAGCTTGGGAAAGCTTTGATCCATTTGGGAGAAATTTTATCTGCTTTGACCTTCCCAGCCCACTGTGAGCCCTGGGGCAGGGGGTCACAGAATTCTGAAATGTTAGAGTCACCTCAGTTAGCCCTCCTCCCCCTGTAATTTCACAGATGGGGATCCTGAGGTTCACGTGCTCACAGCACTGGGGTAGACCCCAGGCCCACAGACTCCTGGTCTGCTGATGGGCTGCTTTCACTATGCTCCATCAGCTCCACATCAGTTTGAGATGTGATTCAGCAGAGATTAAGCTTCAGGTCTTCTGGGTGGGGAGAAAGGTCTTACAACCTTAGAGAAAATTCCTTTACTGGTTTCATATCTGTTCAGTTTCTGAACCCTGTTGATCTGGAAAGTAACTTTATGTACCTTCTCTCTCTAGAGAACCAGGCCAAGTAGCTCTTGATAATTCTGTGGTCTCTGGAGACCGACAGACTCCAGGAACCATCCCATCTGCCCCACCACATACAGCCAGCCTCCGGTACTCCTCATTGCATCTCCTGGAATGGTCCTGAGCCCTCTCCCCATCCTGACCCAGAGCTCCGAGTCTTGGAAGGGGCAGCTGCTGTCCCTGGTACTGAAAAGAGGAGCTCCGTTTGAGCAAGGGCTGGGACAGCCCAGGAGGGCCCAGGATGGACCCACCTGTGTCCTGGGACCCAAAAGCCCTGACCCTTACTTCTCCCGTGACTTGGAGAATGTTATATCTAGAAGGAAGCTGGGAGTGAGCCTTTTTAACTCCATTTTACAGAAGCGGAAACTGATACCCATTGGGAAAATGCCTCTCTCAAGGTCCCATGGGGAGTTACAGAGCCAGGACCAGTCCTTGAAAGTTTCAGGGTGAGTTTGGAAGGCCACTGTAGGGAAATGTGAGGAATAAACTGGAAGGGGCAAAAGACAGGAGAACTAGAGAGGAGGAGGGTACAACAGTCCCAGCTAGATATCATGGGCCTGAACTATGGCAGAGGTTTCTAAACACAAAGAGGAGGGCATGAGGACAGCTCAAGTCAATCCAGGGTATGGATAAACTGGGAGGAAGGGGGCCTCTGGGAAGTGCAGACCCAGTGTCCAGAAGACTGAGTTCAGTAGAGGAGTTCCTGCCCACATCACCCAGCCCAGCTCTGCAGGGCACTGAGCACCCCAAACAGGGACAGCAGGGGCACCCTGCCAGGATCTGTTCCCAGGAAAGAGTTTCCATGGTCAATGCCCATGGTGTTAGCAATATACATCCCTCTATGGTCAGATTCTGCCACCTAGGATGGGGCTTCAAGCTGAGACACTGGCAATATCAAGGCCTGGGAGTTTAAAAATGGGGAGAAGGAATTACAAGTGGAAGAGGAGTATGTTACAAGCAAGGGTAAGAGCTATGGAAGCCAGAGATCTCATTTCTTTTTTGGTTCTCCTGACTATGGGTAATAAAAATAACAATTTACCAAGAACGCAGCTAGTAAATGACCGGGTGTGACTCTGAGGGCCAACTTCAAGTTGTTCTCCAGGAGAATGCCTTCTGTTCTCCAGGCTCAGAGGCTTCACTGGTAAAATGAGTACCCTGGACTAGATGATCTCAAGGGGCCCTTCCTTCTCTGACATTTGGTGATTAGACCTCTGCTTAGAATGGCCTCTGGCCAGTTCCCCTGGCTCAGGCCCCAAGCCTTCAGCCACTGCCTAGCATACCACAGAGACAAGTGGTCCAGGACCCCATCACCATTCTCCCCTCAAGGCTGGAGGTCTTCCTGGTCTTCTGTAATTCCTGCCTGTTGATGGTGGAGTCTAGGTAGGTGGACAGTCCTGGGCAGATCACTGAGTGTCTCCCAGTGACTCCCTGCCCTGGCCCTGGAGGCCTGTCCCTCCAAATCACTTTGGGCATGAAGAAGTCTTTGGGTTCTTGGGTGTTGGATTCAGCTGGATATCAGTAGGGCTCAATCTCCTGAGACCAGACTCCCATGGCCCAACACCTCCTTGACCTCCTAATCTTAATCCCCACCTTAATCCCACCCCTAAATCTCATCCCAGCCCAACTCTTGGATCCCCAGATCCCCATCTCCCTGACTCCCTAGTGCCAGGCCTACACTGCTCACTCACGGAGGCCATTTCTGCTCTAGGCACTAATAATCTCAAGCCCCCTCCCTGTCTAGCATCTCCCTAAACCAGAAGCCACACTGCAGCTTGATTGCTGGAAAAGACCATCCCACATGCTCCTGTGAAGGGCTTTGTAAAAATCTATTTTAAGGTCTGGAAAAGTCCCCCACCCTCAGCCCCAACTGGGATCTTGATGAGCATTCTCCCTGGATTCTCCGGCATCCCCGCCCCCTCACCACCCCCATCCAGCTGCCTATTTGAAGGTTTCTTGGGGAAGTTGTTACTCTGAGCAAAATAAGCAGGAGGAGATTTTAAAACAAAACCAGCTGGTGTCTGGGCTGATGCCACAAAGTAAGGAGGTCTTGGTGGGGAGGGCTGACTCCTCTGTGACATGGGGTCTGGGGGTGACTGTGTGTGACAATATCTGAGCATAACTGGGATTCTATAACCAGGTGTCTGAGAAAGTATATTAGGATGTAGCTGTTAAGATTAGTGCTAATGTGACTTTGTAAGGTATGGGCATACACGTGTGACATGTTTATGTGACTGTGGGCCACTGTGTATGCATGTATGTAACTATGGTTCTGTGATCTGGGTCTATGCATCTGTACTCACAGAATTGTGTCTGTGTGATTTGCATGACTGGCTTTATTTGTGACCATGCATAGTGTGAATGACTTATTGTGCTTTTCTGGTAGTAGAGGTAGCTTTTCTGAGCAACTGAGCACACTATTCATATGACTATGCAAAGTGTGTATCTTTGTGTACATCTCTCTTGTGACTTTGTAATATGTGTGGTTGTGTAACTAACATTTGTGTGGCTATTTGTTCTTAGGAAATGACAATTACAAGTGAGACAGATTCTTGTGAATGTGTGTCTGCAAATTTGTGTCAGCATGATGGCAGGAATATGATGCCTATTTAATAATAATTGCTGATTAATGTGTAAGTCTGCATGGAGTCAGCAGAATATACAGGTTAGGAGCATGAATTTAGAAGCTCAGCTGCCAGGGTTTGAATCCAGGCTCTACCACCTATTAGCTATGTAGTTTGGGGCATCTTACTTCCCTTCTCTGTGCTTCAGCACCTGCCTCATAGAGTGATATGAGGATTCAGTGAATCAGGACACATACTGGACCCAGATCAGCACCTGTATAGGTGAGTGCTACAGAAGGGTTTGTGGGTGTGGGAGTCTCTACACCATGAGGGTTGTCTGTGGGTGCCCTATCATTGCAAGGTGCCCCACATCAGCCCCTTGGTGTCCCATGTCCCCTCACCAGTCTGGGGGAGCTGGAGTGTGCTCTTACTCCACTGGGTCAAGCCCACGATGGCCACCATCTTGGCCCCAAGGCTGCTGCGCCGCTTCTTGGCAGTGGAGGTCCCGGTCCCGCCCCCAGCTTGCTGGGAGCTGCAGATTTCGCTGCTGATGCTGGAGCTCCGAACCACATTCCTGGAGGCTGCAGCCGAGGCTGGACCAGGCTCCCCGTCAAACATGGTCCAAGTGGCAGCAAAGCCTCAGGTAACTCTGTGAGGTAGGAGGAGAAAAGAGGGGGTCCCACATCAGACCCCAGGACCACTCCACCACCACAGCCCCACCACTTCCTACTTATGTGACCTTGGGCAAATCTCTCAGTCTCTCTGAGGTTGTGAGGAGTAAATGAACAAATAAATGTAAAGAGTGTGCATAGGGTTTGGCTCAATAAATGAGACTATTCTAATAATTAGCACATGGATGTGACCTGATTTGGTGGTAAAGACAGAAGCTGTGGCGTCATACAGTTCACTCTTGAATTCCAAAAGCCTCTACACACTAGCTGTGCAACCTTGTGACTGAGCATCCTGTGAGGTGTTCATTCCAGTGAACACCTCAGCAAAATGAGAAATACAAGCACTCACCTCAGATGACTGTTGTAAGGGTTAAGTTAGTGTATGTGAAAGGACTTAGAACTGTGTCAGACACAGAGTAAATACTCAGAAAGTGTGATTGCTATTTCCGTAGCCAGTAATCAGAACAGGGAGAACAAAACTGGTTCCAGCCTGGCTGGACTGTGGACGGGGTCCTCCTGCTTGAAGGGGATGGTACAGAGAAGCATAACAAGCAAGAAGGGTTACCCTTCATTGCACTGCTGACAGGCAGCCACTACACACATTTTAACGTATCTCCTCCCAGTCTTCTCTATGCACTTTTTAAAAAAGAATTGAATACAAACTGCAAATACAATTCCATATCCTGGTATTTTTCACTTAATATTACATCACAAGCATTTTCTAATATCATGAACACTTTGTATAAATGTTTTAATGCCACCACAATATTCCATTGTGTAGCATAACTGACTTAAATATTTCAATACAGTTACCTCTTGGATCAGATTTGACTTTCTCCTCTCTCCCTCCTGCCTTTTAAATAACACTGCAATAAACATCTTTCTGCACTGATTTTATTTACTTATTTCCTTAGGATTGATTCCCAGAAATGGAGTGTCTGGGCTTGGGGGTTGAGAACACTGCTGGTAGCTTCCCCAACACCCATTTTTCCCTCCTGCTTCCTGGACTGAGTGCTGGTTTTGTCCAGGTACCACCCCATCCCCTGTTCTAGAGGCAGAGCCTGAGTAGTTCAAACCAGTCAGTGAGAGGCATTTACTTAGTAACTCTTACTGGCCTGAGGGTGGGTGTATGACTAAGTTGGCCCAATTTGACTTAAGGCGAAGATTTGGATTCAGAGCTTATAAAAGAGGTGGTGGTCTCTCTCTCTCTGTCCTCACTTCCGCCCTTAAGACCCCTCCCCCTAGAAAGGTCCCAGCCCCAGGATGAAGCCTGTTTTGCTGAGGGTAGCACAGCACAGAGTGAGAAAGGACCTCAGGCTGCCCTGGAGCCTGCCTTTTATGTGAAATAATGTGTTTCCCACTGCTGAAGCCACTGTGAATCCGAGTTCTCTGTTAAATCCAAATGCATCCTACTTGATACTGCAGGCATAACTATATTTTTGATTCTAGGAATATAATGCCAAATTCCTTTCCAAAGCTGCAATCAACAAAGAGTTAAGTAAGCCCTTAGCATTCCAAGGCTTATGCCGAGTGCCAAGGGTACAGAAGTGAGCCAGGCCGACTTGGTCGGTCTTACCCTCCCAGAGCCTCCAGTCCAGGAGGAGAGATAGTAAATAACTAATTATGCCACTAAATATTTAATGACAGTCACAATGAGTGCCTGGGAAGAGGACAGAGGGCACCAGGAGCCCCTCGGGGGGAGCAGGCGGCAGGTGTCTGTGGCTGTTTGCACAGAGGTGGGGTCTCCAGCTGCTGGCCTCACAACTCAGCTGAAAGTCCAATGCTGCCTCCTCTGCTCAAAGTATGCCGTTCAGGCAGGCTCTGCACTCAGCCCTTTCCAGCCTAGCCCAGCCCACAGGGCTTCTCCCAAGGCAGCTCACCATCTCAGGGCTCAGAGCACCTTGCCTGACCCTCTGCCCTTAGGCCTGTACCATGAGAGAATCTGTCTTTTCAGAAGGGCGTTGAAAGGGGCGGGAGAATAGGGGGAAAAGGAAGGCACCATTCCAGAAGAAGGCAGTCCCCAGATAGCTGAGAAAGGCCACCCGGCCTCCTGGGCAGCATGGTTCATGCCCACCTGGCCAATCAGGGATGACAGTGCAGTTGAGTCAAAGCTGTGTTTTGTCTTCTTGTGGTTGTCTGCTGTTCTCGCTCACCTTGTGACATGAGCAGAGTGCTGGATTATGTTTCTCCATCCATCTCCCATCAACCTTGCAGCTAATGGAAAGTGCCCCTGGACCTGGGCCTATGATGATCTCCTCAATTTAGTTTCCAATCCTAGTGCCAGTTTGTGTGTTTGCGGCGGGTTTCTGCATGGTCCTTTGGTGGCAGGTGAGAAAGGGCTTACAGCGTAAGCCTAATAACAATTTAAAATATTTCTGTTATGTGGGTAGTAATCTCCATGTTACAGGTGAGAAACCTGAGTCAGAGAAGTCACGACCTTGCCCATCCTACTCAGCTAAGAAGTGGCAACACCCAGACTTGAACCCGAGCCTCCTGTTTCCACAAAGGTACAGACACACTCAGCAGCCCCTTTCCCTTCAATCCAGAGCTCACCTGAGCAGGAGGGAAAGGTGTGGGCCCATCCCTCCTGCTCAGGCTTTTCCCTGGGTCTCTGGGCTCTTTGGAAAAACTATGAGGAAATTATTTTTGATGAGAACAATCCCCCTGGCCCAGACTCCCACAGCTGGCATGAGCATCTAAGGGGCAGCAGAAACCCCACCCAGGCTACTGCTGAAGAAGCGAGCACTTCCCCAGCGCAGCCCATAGGAAGCTGATGAGCACGGCTCCCAAGGGTGAGAAGGGAAGACGGTAAGGGACAAATTTCCGGACCCAACCAACCCAGGGCTCATGTTTCCTCATGAATAAAGAATGACACTGACAAGCGGAGGATTTAACATCCAGGGCTGTGCACTACCTAGGACCACTTTCTCATTTTCCACCACTCAGGGGTCACCCAGGGGGCCTGCAGAATGGATGAATGCTCAGGAGGGTGCAGCCAGACAGGCCATCCCCAAGGGGACAGGAGGAGCCAGACCCAAAGCACTGGACCCAAGGCCTGAGGGCCTGACCTATGGAGCAGGCGTCCTGGGTCGGGCAGCCTGGAACAGTTAAGAACCAGGAGGTGTGATTAGAACGTATGCACATTCCTGGTGTTGCCTCCTCTGGGCCTTGGTTTCCTCATCTGTGTGTGAGACAAAGAGTTGGGTTAACTGGCAAGCAGAGGACTTAACATCCAGGACTCACACAGTTGATTTCTAGAAGTCCTTTTGACTAGGAGAGCAGAGCATGTCTGTAAACACACACGGCAGTGGCAGGCTCAGAACTGGGGTTCCAGTTGCTTCTCTGGCAGCCAGATTACCTCAAAAGGGGCAAGACAGAGAGACAGATAGGGCCAGCCACCTGGCCGCTATGAGGAGGGCAGTCCACCCCAGCAAGCCCAAAGCCATCAGACCACATAGGTGGGAAAGGGCAGCAGGCAGAAGTAGGAGCAGAGCGGTAAGGGTCCAGCAGGACATGGAACACAGCACCTCACATACTGGGGTTCTGAAAGATTGCTAAACAAACTACATCCTTTCCACAAAAGTCACTTCAACAATTCCCTGCTTTTAAGCAGAACTGTGTCTTTCCCAGCCTGGCTCCTGGTCTCCTAGGGAGAGGAGCCCTTCCTTGCTGGGTCATAGAGACCTCCCTCTGAAGTTCTTCCTGCTGACTCCTATCTATGGCTACAGCAGCATCAACTGTTATGGCTCAGATTTCCCTCCAGGGAGGAGGGCCTCTGCCCCCGACTCCTGCCAAAGCTTCATGCCAGCAGATACCAGCAAACTCCCCAAAGAAGAAGCCTAGTGTGTTCTTTCCAGCCCTGGATGTTTGGCCTTTACTCTAGGGTCTCAGTACCCAAAGGGCTCCCCAAATCACGTCCTGATTCCTGACAACAATGGGTCTCAGGGCTCTGCCAGGCCATCCTGGGCCCCTTGGTACCTTTGGCCATGTTTCTAACCAAATAATAAGCCTTTTTTGAGAGTCACTGAGGCCATCCAAAAACCCAAAATGAACCCAGCTACCTACCCTTTCGAAAGAAAAGACCAAGGAATCTGTCACAGAGTGATGGACTGTCAGACTGGAAGGAATGGCAAATAACTGAATTCTTACCATCCTGTACCCACAGCAGACATCACTGATCCATCTCTTTCCCACTGAGGCCAGATTTAACCTCAGAATCCTCAACATGTGCTCCAGCACCAACCTATGAGTTCAGCTCATGACTTAAAACTGACTTGTCATCCCTATTCCAACCAAATCTTTCATTTTGCAGAGTAGGGAATCAAGGCCTAGAATGGGAAAGAGACACACCAAGGATCACACAGAAGTTGGTGACAAACCAGAGCTGCAACTCAAGTCTCCCAGCTCCCAGTCCTGCATCACCTGTCAGGTGCTTCCTCCCCACCTTGAAGAAAACCCAGACTTACCAAACTGATGAGTCTGAGCGTGGTGTCCGGCATCACCGGGGGCTGGGCCCCTCCCAAGAGCACACCCCTAGGACATGTACGCGAGGCTCCAGTTAACTTCTGCCCAGACACCAGCTTTCAAGAAAGGGGGTGGGGGAGGCAATCAGGATAGCTCCCAGGAGGAAGTGATGTGATAGGTTCCTGGAAGGAAAGAGGGGGGCTTGGAGGAAGAGCTAGAGGAGACATTGTCCTCAAGGGCTTCCAGTAGTTTGTGGAATAACAAGACAGACTTTAGAGACAGCAAATCATTTAAACTCTCTGATTCTCTGTTTCCTCCTTTGTAAAACTGCCCAAACTCCTGGGTCCCCAAACTTCTAGTGCTGAAGCCCCACCACAACTTTCAAACTCTTAACACATAACAGACTCATCCAGGTCCAGCTGCTAAGGACCTCTGGACCCTATTCTTCCTCTGCCCTCCTCCTGACTAATGGGGCCTGTGTCCCTCCCCAGACACTCTGTGACATGCCCAGCGATCAGGAGTCAGGGTGGGAGGCGCTCCTGGCTCCACCCTCAGTCATTTGACCCTGAACAAGTCATCCAGTGTCTCTGCACCTCCATCCCCTCTTTAATAAAATGAGTCTACTCATCACCTGGACCCGGCCTGACTCTCCAGGACTGGGGATGGTATGAGATAATGAGGAGCAGGAAAGCAGAGTGATTTAAAACATGGGCTTTTGGAGGCAGACAGACTTAGTTGTAAACCTAGATCTGTCACTTAGAAGCCATATGACAAAAGGGCAATTTCCTTAACCCCCTAAGCCTACTGCTCCTCATCTCTGAGGTGGGGATAATAACACCTGCTTTGGCATATTTTCCCTGGGTCTCTGGGCTCTTTGGAAAAACTATGAGGAAATTATTTTTGATGAGAACAATCCCCCTGGCCCAGACTCCCACAGCTGGCATGAGCATCTAAGGGGCAGCAGAAACCCCACCCAGGCTACTGCTGAAGAAGTGAGCACTTCCCCAGCGCAGCCCATAGGAAGCTGATGAGCACGGCTCCCAAGGGTGAGAAGGGAAGACGGTAAGGGACAAATTTCCGGACCCAACCAACCCAGGGCTCATGTTTCCTCATGAATAAAGAATGACACTGACAAGCGGAGGATTTAACATCCAGGGCTGTGCACTACCTAGGACCACTTTCTCATTTTCCACCACTCAGGGGTCACCCAGGGGGCCTGCAGAATGGATGAATGCTCAGGAGGGTGCAGCCAGACAGGCCATCCCCAAGGGGACAGGAGGAGCCAGACCCAAAGCACTGGATCCAAGGCCTGAGGGCCTGACCTGTGGAGCAGGCGTCCTGGGTCGGGCAGCCTGGAACAGTTAAGAACCAGGAGGTGTGATTAGAACGTATGCACATTCCTGGTGTTGCCTCCTCTGGGCCTTGGTTTCCTCATCTGTGTGTGAGACAAAGAGTTGGGTTAACTGGCAAGCAGAGGACTTAACATCCAGGACTCACACAGTTGATTTCTAGAAGTCCTTTTGACTAGGAGAGCAGAGCATGTCTGTAAACACACACGGCAGTGGCAGGCTCAGAACTGGGGTTCCAGTTGCTTCTCTGGCAGCCAGATTACCTCAAAAGGGGCAAGACAGAGAGACAGATAGGGCCAGCCACCTGGCCGCTATGAGGAGGGCAGTCCACCCCAGCAAGCCCAAAGCCATCAGACCACATAGGTGGGAAAGGGCAGCAGGCAGAAGTAGGAGCAGAGCGGTAAGGGTCCAGCAGGACATGGAACACAGCACCTCACATACTGGGGTTCTGAAAGATTGCTAAACAAACTACATCCTTTCCACAAAAGTCACTTCAACAATTCCCTGCTTTTAAGCAGAACTGTGTCTTTCCCAGCCTGGCTCCTGGTCTCCTAGGGAGAGGAGCCCTTCCTTGCTGGGTCATGGAGACCTCCCTCTGAAGTTCTTCCTGCTGACTCCTATCTATGGCTACAGCAGCATCAACTGTTATGGCTCAGATTTCCCTCCAGGGAGGAGGGCCTCTGCCCCCGACTCCTGCCAAAGCTTCATGCCAGCAGATACCAGCAAACTCCCCAAAGAAGAAGCCTAGTGTGTTCTTTCCAGCCCTGGATGTTTGGCCTTTACTCTAGGGTCTCAGTACCCAAAGGGCTCCCCAAACCACGTCCTGATTCCTGACAACAATGGGTCTCAGGGCTCTGCCAGGCCATCCTGGGCCCCTTGGTACCTTTGGCCATGTTTCTAACCAAATAATAAGCCTTTTTTGAGAGTCACTGAGGCCATCCAAAAACCCAAAATGAACCCAGCTACCTACCCTTTCGAAAGAAAAGACCAAGGAATCTGTCACAGAGTGATGGACTGTCAGACTGGAAGGAATGGCAAATAACTGAATTCTTACCATCCTGTACCCACAGCAGACATCACTGATCCATCTCTTTCCCACTGAGGCCAGATTTAACCTCAGAATCCTCAACATGTGCTCCAGCACCAACCTATGAGTTCAGCTCATGACTTAAAACTGACTTGTCATCCCTATTCCAACCAAATCTTTCATTTTGCAGAGTAGGGAATCAAGGCCTAGAATGGGAAAGAGACACACCAAGGATCACACAGAAGTTGGTGACAAACCAGAGCTGCAACTCAAGTCTCCCAGCTCCCAGTCCTGCATCACCTGTCAGGTGCTTCCTCCCCACCTTGAAGAAAACCCAGACTTACCAAACTGATGAGTCTGAGCGTGGTGTCCGGCATCACCGGGGGCTGGGCCCCTCCCAAGAGCACACCCCTAGGACATGTACGCGAGGCTCCAGTTAACTTCTGCCCAGACACCAGCTTTCAAGAAAGGGGGTGGGGGAGGCAATCAGGATAGCTCCCAGGAGGAAGTGATGTGATAGGTTCCTGGAAGGAAAGAGGGGGGCTTGGAGGAAGAGCTAGAGGAGACATTGTCCTCAAGGGCTTCCAGTAGTTTGTGGAATAACAAGACAGACTTTAGAGACAGCAAATCATTTAAACTCTCTGATTCTCTGTTTCCTCCTTTGTAAAACTGCCCAAACTCCTGGGTCCCCAAACTTCTAGTGCTGAAGCCCCACCACAACTTTCAAACTCTTAACACATAACAGACTCATCCAGGTCCAGCTGCTAAGGACCTCTGGACCCTATTCTTCCTCTGCCCTCCTCCTGACTAATGGGGCCTGTGTCCCTCCCCAGACACTCTGTGACATGCCCAGCGATCAGGAGTCAGGGTGGGAGGCGCTCCTGGCTCCACCCTCAGTCATTTGACCCTGAACAAGTCATCCAGTGTCTCTGCACCTCCATCCCCTCTTTAATAAAATGAGTCTACTCATCACCTGGACCCGGCCTGACTCTCCAGGACTGGGGATCGTATGAGATAATGAGGAGCAGGAAAGCAGAGTGATTTAAAACACGGGCTTTTGGAGGCAGACAGACTTAGTTGTAAACCTAGATCTGTCACTTAGAAGCCATATGACAAAAGGGCAATTTCCTTAACCCCCTAAGCCTACTGCTCCTCATCTCTGAGGTGGGGATAATAACACCTGCTTTGGCATAATTAGATAAACTATTACAAAGTAAGGGTTGGCACATGCTAACTAATGCTCAGTTGAGCAATTATGTTATTATTGTTAGAATGGTACCTTTGTAAACAGTAAAGGACTGTACAGGTGTTCGTGCTTTTTGGTGGGGATTGAACACCAAGTATAACCACTTCCTGGGCAGGCTTAGAGACCAACAGGCTCACCCCCAACTCCAGCCCTGGTGCTTCCACCCAGAGCTGAGGATGAGCATGGGATTGGGCCCCTACCCCTGTCAGTTGAGGTGGGAGCTGGCCCACGGGGCTGTGCTCTTCTCTGCCAGCATTTCAGCTCCTGGCCTCCTAGGTCTCCTAGGGAGAGGAGCCCTTCCTTGCTGGGTCATGGAGACCTCCCTCTGAAGTTCTTCCTGCTGACTCCTATCTATGGCTACAGCAGCATCAACTGTTATGGCTCAGATTTCCCTCCAGGGAGGAGGGCCTCTGCCCCCGACTCCTGCCAAAGCTTCATGCCAGCAGATACCAGCTCACCTGGCATTTGGGAACCTGACCTGAACCCAATCCAGCATCAGGATTGCCGACCACATCACCCATTCCAATCTGTGCCCATGTCAGAGGCCACTGCCTGCATCTATAGACAGGGAGAGGGGTTCTCTTTTTTTGGCTTTTCTTTTCTCCGTTCAGGAAGAGATAGGTGCATCCCTTATATGTGGTGGGGAGGTAGGCTGGGCAGAGGGGGCACACCCAGCCTGAGTGGGGAACACTACACCAGCTGCTTTCCTGGTTGTGCAACCTTTGTCTCCTCCAAACCAGGCTTGCAACACAACTACACACACACAGGGAGACACAGGGCACCAAATTTCAAATGTGTGATTACACACCACACAGATGATACACACTTAAAGACACAATCATGCGGGTACACAGATAAATACACCACCTCCCACCCCAACTCATCCACACAAAGGCACACAGAAGCAGCCACACTGACAGCTACACGTGTTTGCAGACTGGTATGCCCACACTCACACACACACACCTCCCCTTGGCCCCTGCCCAGCCCAGGAAGGCAGGAACAGCTCCATCCCTTCAGGGGGTAGGGAAGTTGGAAGTGTCTTACCTGGATCTGTGGGCTCCCTTGACTGAGGCATGCACACCAGCTCTAGCGAGTGTCTGTGTGAGCTCAAACATACATACACACTCATACATGCTCCAGTCCCCAATACCATTCTCCTGGCCCCCATCCTTGTGGGCTGGACAAAGGAGCTCATGGGTGAGGTTTGTGGTGAGATGAGAAGGCTGGCAGGGAACAGCTGCTGTCACCATGGCTACCGAGCTGACCCACTTCTCCTCCACCCAGCCTGGCCCACCCAGCCCAGGCAAGGTGTGTTGGGGGGAGGCAGCTTTGGGGCAGTGGAACCTTCTTCTATCACACACAGTAAAGGGGTGGTCTCCTGAGGGTATGGTAAGGGATGAGTTGAGCCCCAGATAGGCTGGTTCCTGCATAGGAACGCAACAGGCAGACATCCCTTGAGGGGAGCAGGGTGCTAAGAGAAGGGCCCTGCAAGCCCTAGTCTCTGGCCTCCCTCAGCTTGGGGCCTCTGGCCTCAGGGACCCACGAGGGCATCCTGGACACATTTTCAAACACAGTCCTCACAGAAGGTCAGGGCATGGAGTATCCAGGCCCAAACTTGTGTCCCCCAGACTCCAAGGACCCAAGACACCCAAGGGTGAGGCAGACCCATGCCTTCCTTCCCTGGATGGGGCTGCCATTTGTCTTCTCTCAGCCAGGGGCTCCTGAGGACATGGCTATGTATCTTTCCTCAGAACTGGGGACATAGAGGAACAACACAGCCTTCAGACAGCTCAGGCTTATAAGGAGACAGCTCATAAAGCCTAATGAATCACTCCTGTGTGACAGCCTCCCATAGCTCCCCAGTTCCTTCAGGAAAAAATAAAACTCCTCACCAAGGCCCATAGGCCAAGTGACCAAGTTCATCCCGAGTTCTTGCCCCTCATCTGTACTTCAGCCACACTTCCCTGCTCTCCATCCCCCAAAAGTTCCACCTGTAATGCTTGTCTCCTGCCCACCTGACCGTCATGTTCTGAGGCCCCATATTTGCCTGCTGAACCACCTTTGCCTGGCTAACCCCTACTCATTGCTCAGTCCCAGGCTGAGTGTTATTTCCTAGGAGAGTCTTTCTAGACAAGGTTAGTCCCCCTAGTGTGCTCCCCCAGCCTCTGTACTGCCCTGCCTATTATGGGTTGAGTTGTGTCCCCCCAGAAAGATATGCTGAGGTCCTAACTCTGGTACTTGAGAGCATGACCCTGTTTGGAAAGACATGATTAGTCAAATCCAGGTCATGCTGGAGCACGGTCAGTCCCTAATCCAATGTGTCTGGTGTCTTGAGAAGACAGCCATGTGAAGACACACATGCATAGGGAGTGTGCCATGCAGTGATGGAGGCAGAGGCTGGCGTGAGCAATAAGCCAAGGACTGCCAGCTGTCAGAAGCTGGGAGACAGCCATAGAACAGAGTCACCGTCGGAAGGAACCAATCCTGCTGACACCCTGATTTTGGACTTCTGGCCCCCAGAACTGTGAGAGAATAAATTTCTGTTGTTCTAGGCAACCCAGTTTGTGGTATTTTGTTACACTGCTCCTCCTGACTTGTTCAGTGCCTGTCTCCCACACCCCACGCCCTGGCTGTGAGCTACCTAAATATAGGAACCATGTCATCTTCACTCAGAATCCCTAGTGCCTGGCACAGGTCTGGCACATAGTAGGGCTCTGTAAATATTTGTTGAATGAATCAATGATGATCTTAAATAAATATTATATTAATGGTATTTATAGCAAGACAGCAGAATTGTGAGTCATTTTTATTTTCTTCATGTGACATATTGTGTTTTCTAAAGTTACCACTTCAGAAACTGTATTGTTATAAAGAAAAAACTAAAATACATATTTTTCTTTCAAAACATACAATAACAGCCATTTCCACCGATGGGTGTTTTGTGAAGAGAAGTTACGCTATACACTTGATAACTACTTTTTTATTGTTTAATTGATTCCTCCTTGTGTGACTACAGTACTTTCCAGAGTCAGATTTACAGAGCTTGAGCTCTGAGGCCTGGCAGGGCATAGATTCCAGGTGGGACAGGTCCAGGCAGAGTACATATGCTTCTTGGCTGTCTCTACCACCTACCTCCTCTCATAGCTCATGGGGTCTGGCCAAATATGGCAGGGGCCGCTAGACTTGGCACATGAGAAACTACCAGCCTGGCCGAAGGCCACTCTGAAACAAAAGCAACATCCGGCCCTCAAACTAAGTACCACCCAGTGCTTCACAAACTTAAATGTGCACATGAATCACTAGGGGATTTGCTGAAATGCAGATTCTGATCCCAACAATCCTAGATTTTGTATTTCTAACAAGCTACCAGATGATATCCACACTGCTAGCCCACAGACTACCCAAGGCACTGAGAAGTAAAGATAAAATACTCCAGTTGTTCTGTAGGAGTGAACACTCCAGGATGGGGAGAGCAAAGAAGACATCACAGGAAATGCATTGCACAGCACCTGAAAAGATAGGTAGGATTTGGATAAGTGGCAGGAAGGAAGAGGTGTGAACTACCTGGGAAGGTCCAGACAGAGAATGTTACGTTCAGAGGATGGTGCATAGAGCAGTGCAGTTGGAACAGGGAGGTGAGTACACGTGTGGAAGAGAGGGCTGGGAAGGTAGGCGGGGAACAACCAGTGAAGAGCTCTGAATGCAGGGCTAAGAAGCTTGGCTTTAATCCTGTAGGGAGTGAAACCTGACATGTCTTAGCTGCAATGTCTTACAGAGACCAGTGTGACTCTGAGTGCAGAAGCAGAAGTGCAGAAGCCTAACAGCAGAGACATCAGTCAGGAAACAGATAAGAAGGGCAGCCCTGCTTCACATAGTGCCAGCAGAAAGAGTGGGGGGGCAGGAGTCATGGCAGGGCTTGGGGAGCGGCTAGAGTTAGTGATGGGACAAAGTTAGGGGGAGGGAAAAAACAGATTTCAAAGTGATTTACAGGAAGGGTGGGGACTAAGAGGCACCATCAGCAAAAACTTCAGGTCCTAGAGGAAAAAGCTGGCTTAAGGGGAAAATGAGTCCCCATTTTAAATATGCTGAGTCTGGGAATACTGCAAGTCCCACAGGGAGGCATTGGGCAGGTAAGCAGATCCACTGAAGCTCGGGAGAGCAATGTGAGTGGGCAGGATTTGGGTGTGCTCCCCAGAGGGAAAAGTGGGGTGTGGAAAGGAAAGAGAATGCCTAGAGAACAGAGTGAGGAAAGGGCAAAAGGCAATACACACAGTT